GGATGTGCATTCTCCAGAACCCCACACCACCAGTGTAATTGCATCTCTGCCATATAGAACTTTATAGCTTGTCATCAATGCTGACACTGTGTATAGCACAAGGAGCTGACTAACTGGACAGTTCAAAATGATAGATGACTGCTCTTATTTGCTTATAGCTTCTTGCTTTGCACATGGGCTGCCTGGTTTCAGTATTTGCATCTTGTGTTTTACAGCAGAAATCCCTAGTTCTGCAGCATGGTAGCCTTCACTGACAGCTTATCAGGAGCAGTAAGGGTTACACGGATTTAGAGAAATATAAAACAGAAGCCCAAAATCTGGGCATGATTGTGTCCATCTGAATGCATGATTGACTTGGCCAGTCATCAAAACCTGCAAACAATAGTTCCTTTTATCCCAGAGCCACAGCACAATGGCCACTGAGATGCCATGGAAATTTCAAGCAATCCTCTAGCTGTACTGTAAACAACTGACTCTACAGCCATCAAGGCAGGGCTTCTAGTAGCATCAAGTCCATGTATTAGATCAGCTAGTAAAGTTGGAAACAATAGGCAGGTTATCAGGCACATAGGCTTGTATACAGGTTGTTGTAGACCTACCCAAGCCTTCCTGTATGTGTCCTAGGTGTTCTGTGTATCTCCAAAGAATTTCTTGTCTCCCTGGACCAGTAAGTTTATTCTTTATGTATGTAGTTCCAGACTGGATCACAGTAATAATCAACCATCTCATCAGTGGTTTGCCTGCCTCTGTGTGTCCCTTCTTCACATATGTTTGGCCCATATGTGTGGCAGCTGGTCATTGTATTTGAAGACTCAGATGACTGCTCTGAAGTGGAAAGCACCTTTCTTTCAAGTTGTACTTAAAATACTTTATTTAAAGAATTATCAAAAATTCTTTTCTTGAGCATTTGTTATTTAATTTATTCAGTCCTATAGTTTGCTACTGCCTTATAAAATTTTTGGTTTATTGTTGTGATTTCCCTGGTTCAAGTACATCAGGACAGCTAATGTACAGTGTCTCAAATGAGTTTCAAGGCCTAGTCTATGGAAAGGACAAGAGATAAATGCGCAAGGAAGTATTGAACAATTAATTATGCCATAATGCAGCAAGGGAGGGAGAAGTGGAGAGCTGGCCCAATGTAAACTCTATGCCTCTGATGCCAGGATTACACTCGGAGGCATTTGTGCCTCTCTCCATTTTGTGAGGCATGTTGCCAGGCAGAACAGCAGTTAGTACGCCCATGGTGGGGTTTACTAGCTTCCACACCGTGTTTGGTGGCTTCTTAACTTCAGGATGAGGAATTAAAGTTTTTTACACAGCAGGTAGTGATTGCCATTTACAGATTTTTTTTGGTAGCAAAAATCTAGCTTGGGATATGAGTATTCCAAATCAGTGTTGGAATGAGGGAAACACTGCAGATAAAGTGTTGCTTACCAAAATGTAATAGTAGCAGTAAATGTCCTTGTACCAAAACTGATACTGTTCCTGCTAATGGAGATAAAAGCTATGAGTGCACAGTGAGTTTGAGGGTTCCTTAGCTTCTTTAATTTTCTTTGTACACCTTATTTTAAAGGTGACCTCTGATATGGGTATGTGTATTGCAGGCATGAGCCATTCTTGCCTGTTATTGAGTTGAATGGGCTCCTGTCCATAATAGATAATATATTTCCCTTCCCTGAGTAACTAGGCTCAGATTTTTCATGAGTATTTCCATGTCAGAATGCAACACTAACGTGTTGCAGGGCAAACAGACAATGAACCACCCCATCTTACTGAGTAAATTAAGTTTGAATACCAATCTGTCTGTGCTTTTAACCAGTGGTTACCCATTTGTAAAATGCCAAGAGGACCTTTCTTCAAAATGCTGAAACATGATTTGTGTTCACTGGGGGGTGTTCTTTGTCTTCCAGGGGACAATATCTGTTTAAAAATAAACCTCCTGATGGGACGGCACCACCCAACTCATTCTATAGAGCACTTTACCCCAAAATTATACAAGACATAGAGGTAAGAAACAGCTTCCAGATGTGGTGTGTTTGGTTGGATTTTTAATTTATTTTTAAATCTCAGTGATTTATTCATGATGCAGAAATTCTGAGAATATTTCATTCTAGTGAAATACTTCATTAAACCTGTTGTGTCTGTGTTTGTCTGGAGTTTGTAGATCTGGCATAGTTATATAAAGTCCCAAGCTTCACTAGTCCTTTATACAGGGGATGGGTTGGATTGTTCAGTGAGCTGTTTGCAGAGGGAGTCTCTACCCCTTGCAGGTCAGATGCCACAGCAGCACCATGCCATCTTGATTTTCTCTGTTCCACAGTACTTTGCTCCACCTGGTGCAGGTGACACCTACTGAGATGTTACAGGCAGAAATCGAGCATGGTTGCTTTATATCTAGTGTGAGCAAAATGCCATGTTCTGGTACTTTCCTAATGGCAAGAGCGGTGCTCAGGGGCTGTTGTGACAAATTCATACAAGTGCTTAGCTAGAGCTCAAGTGAGACTTCCTTTTCAGTTGTTTAGCTATTGAGTCACAGGGGGTTAAAGGTTGGAGATAGAAAAGAGCTTTTAGGTTGCTTCTCTCTCACCATTCCACATAACACAAATGAGTTTAGCCACGATATGTTTCCTAGGCTTTTGTCCATTTAATTGGTTTTATTATGTGTGTTACTTCTTTTAGAAAGAAGTTATGTCATTGTATGTGCCTCACTGCAGAAAAAAACATAAAGAAAAGTATCTGCTGTCTTCTTAAACAAACAGAAAAAGAGGAGATAGTTCCATGCTTTATTTTTACTCTGTTTCCTGTCTCTCAAGACAATAGAGTCAAACTGGAGGTGTGGAAGGCACAGTTTACAGAGGATCCACTGCCGAAGCGAGACAAGCAAAGGAGTTTATTGTTTACAGTATGATGACCAGAAGATAGTAAGTGGCCTACGAGACAATACTATCAAGGTGAGAATGCTCCAGAAGAGCATAGTAATGGCATGTAGTGCCTAGGCCATAAATAATAGTGTCCTAATTTCAATCTCTTGTTGGTAACCTATCCTTCTTGTTCCCTCGCCTCACACCTGCAGAGCATATTGTGCCTCTTTTATCTGGCAAGAGAGACCCTGTTTTCTTACAAACAGGCTTCCCTAGCAGAGATTTTGCCCATCAGTAATTACAGGCTGTGTAATTACTGTGCCTTCTACCTTGATGAGAAAGGTAAAACCAATATTCATAGTAAAGACAGTAATATCAAAGATGTTAATGTATTGCACCAAAGAGCCTTGTAGAAGATTCTGCAGATGCCACTAAAGATGTTCTGTACTACACTATGGATGATGTGTTGTAAAAACTAGACTAGTCAAACCAGTAAGTGCTGAAAGATGAAAACTTTACTGACCTGTCTAGTTTTGAATGTTTGCTATCTTAGATCTGGGATAAGAATACATTGGAATGCAAGCGAATTCTCACCGGACACACGGGTTCTGTCCTGTGCCTCCAGTACGATGAACGGGTGATCATTACTGGATCTTCAGACTCAACAGTCAGGTGTGTGCTTATGATCTGGAGTTTTCTGTTTTCCTCTAAGATTTTAGCCTTGCAAGCTGCTGAAATTATCTTTTCTTATATGTGTACTGTTCAGTCAGTTCCATGAAGTAGTTCAGCATATGTGTTCAGGAGTGTACTGTCCCTTGTTTATCAGATGTACATGCAAATGGCTGTCAAGGAGAAATGAGAACCTAAGCAAAGGCCAGTCAAGGTCAAGATGACTTAGGAAGGCCATCTGGCTCTTCACCGAGGTTTTTAATGTTTTGGCACTTCCTGAGAATGTTTTAAATTCTCCGTGAGAACAACTTTTTAAAGTTGGTTGAAGTTTTCAAAGCAAGTATGAAGGTTTAGTCATTCATAATCACTTAATTTTAACAAAAGATGTATGACTAGATCTCCTGTGACTCAACTGCAGCATGATACTTCTTTTCGTTCAATCTTTCTAACCTTGCTTTCCTTCCAGTCTTCAGCAAAAGGCTGGACACCTCAAGTCAGCACTTGTGGTGCATGTTGTGCAGATGTGAAGTACACTAGACATATTACAGGATCCCAGAGAGTCTAAGACTTGTAGTGTAAATGCAAGCATGTATGAGTTAGTGAATTGCAATATGAACTTGGATGTGAAAGAGCAGGTCTGTCTTCTCCATATGTATGTTATACTATATATTCTCTTCTTGTCAGAGTACAAACATTGCCCATGAAGTGAAGTTACAGACAACAAAAAGCTGTGTCAGTGGCCTTTTCTGAAGCTATTAGCATGTGTTCCTATGGCTGCAACCTCTTTATGGTTATCACTGTGCATGTGTGTAAACTACCACTGTTAAGCTAATAAAGATTACATTTAGTTCCTGACACGTGATGCATGTTGTCTTGTGATGCTGCTAGACTTTGGGGTCCTATTGTTGGTAGGAATCCAGAATTTCAGCAGTACTGCCTGCCTGGAGACCGTGTGGGAACTGCACTGTACTAAACAGATCACAACGGAGAGTTTGATTTCTGTAACAAGCACTATCATCTTCCATATCAGGCCAGGCAGGCCAAATTGCAGACTGGCTACTTGCCCAGAAATACTTTTGTTTCCCACTGTATCTATAAATGTTTGTGCAGAACCCAGAGGCACATAGGATGCATCACTTTTATCCTTGGGTCTCCTCAGGAAGAAGGACTTCATCCAATAGACAGTACCGATGGGCTCTTAATGCTTCTGAGATCTCAGGGATGCACTTGTCCAAAGAAGTCAGTAGGTGTCCAGCTCCTGTTCAGTTCGGCAACCCTGTCTGCAAACTGCTGATACGTTAACAGCTCAGGTCTTTGTTCTGTCAGGTTTTCTCCTTTGCATTTTGTAATTGGAATGTACTTTTCATTCTCATTTATAGCCCATGAGTTGATGCACTTCAGCCTCCATAAGTTAGAAAATAAGACATTAGAAGTCTTTCTCACATCTTAGCTTTTCTTACTGCTTGCCTTATTGGCAGAGGAAAGTTTTAACTACTGCAATGTCTGATGTGCCTGATGATACAGCCATTTTCTGCTTTCACATAGTATATCTGGGATACAGGTGTGATAGTGCCAAAAGAAATCTCTTCATGGAGGGTAAAAGAAGTTTGCCAACAGAATAGCCGAAAAGAAACATTTCTAAGACTTAAAATCTTCATTTCAATTCCTAGAAGTTCTGTATGACGCCTTTGTCTAACTTTCATCTTAAATTATCTTTCAGCTGGAACAGTTGGTTCTAATAACATTAAGTTGACATAAATGCTCTGTCTTAATTTGGCTATTCAGCACATTCCTGGAATGTAGCTGTGTAGCAGATGCACTGCAGGGTAAATGCAGTTCATGGTGCAACTTGTGGCAATTACTTATATTTGTTTGAAAAGCATTATCTTGTCTTCTGCTTCTCTATAAATTATGCCTTGAGTTGGTAGTCCTGTGAAAGAGGTCAGAAATTACACCTGTCACTGAACTTACTTCTCCACAGGTTATGATTAAGTTCTCATGGACTGGAAATGGAGTGTGTTATAGGTTTATACAACCAGGAAACATGAGTCTTTAAGGCCATCAATCTCATACCTTTCCTCAGCACTAAATTCCCTTAATTAAAGAATGCTTCTTTCCTGGGTGGGTTATTTTTATGGTGTTAATTGCATTGCAGGGTTTTTGGCTGCTGGACTGTCTCAATGTATGCATAATCAACAGGTTTATATAATACAACTTTTAATGAACTATTTAATAGATGTAGATGTAACTTGTGATGTTTGCTTCTCTAATATTGCTAGAGGGTCAATTACCTCTCTTTGTCCCTCCCTTGCTCTGCAGAAAATCCACTGTACAGGTCTTTAACTCTCTTCTCTCTGGTTTGAAATTGGAACTGCAGGGTGTGGGACGTGAATGCAGGCGAGATGCTGAACACACTGATTCACCACTGCGAAGCAGTACTGCACCTCCGCTTCAATAACGGCATGATGGTGACATGTTCCAAAGACCGTTCCATTGCTGTATGGGACATGGCTTCACCAACAGACATCACCCTGAGGAGGGTGCTAGTAGGGCACCGAGCTGCTGTCAACGTAGTGGACTTTGATGACAAGTACATTGTATCAGCATCAGGTGACAGAACTATAAAGGTGAGGTGTTTCGTAGGCTTTTTATTTGCAGCACTGGGGTATTTAATGATGATAAGAGAGGGAAGATGGTCCTTGGCCGTTACTGCAAAGATCTTTCTTTAGAAGCATTGTTCTTCCTTCTGCTTATTTCTGCTTGTCCCTCCTCTGTTCCGCTTGCACAGCTTGTTTACAGAGCTGTATGGCAAATCAGATCCAGCTACAGATGCAGTTGAAAAAGGACTTTTTTTTTCCTGTGTTCTTTTTCAACTTGATCACTTCCATGATCTGTTTCAGCATGTCATTCAAACAGTTGTCAGAGGGCAGCATGGGGGCAAAAGTGCAGGTGAGTGGATGGGAGTCTCTTAAATGTTACTGCTACGATCCAAATCTGCAGCTTTAAAAATGAGGAAAATCAAGACCCTGTGTAGACTAAATCATAGCCCATGAGTGCTAAAGTCTGATTTTGGAAGCTAATTGTTGTACAGTGTGGCAAAAATCTTTACAGTGACCCAAGCTGCTAACAGTTGCAGAATATAATCACAAGTCTTTGGAGGGGTAATCTTCCCACTCTTAATGATAGCTTCTTCAATTAAGAGCAGTCTGGATAAATCTATATATCATACAGATACCAGCTTTTGTTAGTCTCTTCTTAATAATTTTGTCTCTGTGTGGTTCCCTCCTTCCTTCCTATCACAGGTATGGAACACTAGTACCTGCGAATTTGTGCGCACCTTAAATGGCCACAAACGAGGCATTGCATGTCTGCAGTACAGAGACAGGCTAGTAGTGAGCGGCTCTTCAGATAATACTATCAGGTGAGAGACACAGTTCCCATTGCAGAGTTCTGTGCCAGCACGTTGTCTCTGATTCCCTGGGATGTGCAGAGGTTAGGCAACTGAAGTACTCTGTACCCTTGTCGTCTTTGAAAAATGCTTTCTTTGGTATAGAACATTGGGAACTACTGGAAAGAGATAATAGAAGCCTGTTTACTGTGTTGTCTTTCATCCTCTGTATCTCAAGAGTCCCATACTAATCAACAATTTGCATTGCTCTGACAATTCTGGTATATGAAAGAGCCAGCAAGTACCACTTTCTATGATGTCCTTTTGTGATATTTTAATTGGGCTGTGTGTCTAGTTAAAGGGGTCAGATTTGCAGTAAGAGGCATTTAATCCTCTACAGAAATCCTCCTGGGCTCTAGCCAAACTCTACATGTGGTACTTGGCACCTGGTTAAGTTTGGAACAGCTGGTTTAGAGGATGAAGTTCAGTTTACTGCCTTTTGAACTTCTCCAGCTGCCTTGGTTGCAGTCTGAGATTTAACTCCTTCTGGTATCATGAGTCAGGGTTTCTCCCTACGTCCTTCAGCTGCTGGCAGAGGGATGTGTCACTAATCTTGGGGTGTATGGAGCAAGCTTGAATAGTAGTTTACGTGACTTAAGGAAATGGCTCTGTTGTGCAAAGAGGAGTAAGAGCAATCCCCCTTTTGTCTTTGTTGTTGCTTTAAATAATTGTCTGCCTTCTGATAAAACTTGAAAACTGGACAGTGTAAGCAGAAACCCTTCACTTTGCATGTCAGTAGTACTTTCTCCTCAATGGGAATGATTTGTCCTGCTGTTTGTCTGTGGACTTTTCTTGCCTCTCCCTGCTTCACATTCTGTAGGAAAATGGTTGTCCTTTGGTTGACATCACCAGGCCATTATACCAGATTTTATTATAGGGCTGTCTGAAAGCATGACCAAGAGAGCTGGAACTTCTGTCTCTAAATCAAGGGAAGAAGTATTATAGGCATCGTTTAAGAGTAGCACCACTTACACATGGTGAGAACTCCTGTACTTCAAATAGAAAAAAATAACCCTCTGCAATGTAGTACTATGAAGCTTGGTCTCAGAGTAAGAAACAGTTAAATGTTACAGCAGTTAGGGAAGGATCTGAAATGTGACTTGCAATGCTAATAAAAATAGATGTCAAGATAGTGATAACGCTAAAGAGGAATACAGTTACTTTTATGCTTACATTGGACAAAATCCCTATTTGACAGATAAATTGTGCTAGAATTTCAGGAATATTGGCAGTGAATCTTAATGGAAGTCAAGTTTGGCAGCTGTGTGGGTAAGGCACAAGACTTACCTGGTCACATTGCTTTCTCCCAGCCATTAGCAGGGGGCACAAGTCAGTGGAAGGGCGATGAAGAAAGGGCAGGTTACTGAGTTATCTTCGTGGGTAGCTTGGTGCTTTGTATATTTGATTTTAATCCACTGTAAAATGCCTGATGTTGTGTCTTGGCCTTTGGTAGAGGCTGTGTCCTGATACAGAATTTGAAGTTTGATGTTCCTCAGTTTCAGGGAAACTTTTTCCAAAAGGTAACTGTGATTTCTAGTTTTGCAACTGAAAACACAAGGACATGTGAAGTGGCAGAGAAATCAGGATCTTCTATAGAGAGATGCCATCTATAAAAATCATTTAGGTTTTGTTGTAGGCGAGATATTTCACAAGTGTAAGAGGACACAGCTACATTCCTCTCATTGTGGTGATTTCCATCTGGTAGAAACTGGTTCAACCACTTCAGTATCTTAGTCTTCAGGGTCAAAGTTCTTAATTGCTGCAGACAAACATGGTATAGAAAAAAATAAGACAGAAAAAAAAAGATATTTTAGAGCAAGAAAATAGACTCAGACTACATCATCTTGGATTAATTTTTAGTTGAGTGGTTGATTTGCATGTGTGTATTCATCCTACAGTGTGTGCACACATGGGGTTCTGATACTACACTGTTTAAATAACAGCATTCTCTCTAGGAGATGGGGATTCAGGTTCACCTGTGTTCTATACATTTTCCAGCTCTGACAGGACTTCAGGTGAATTAAAGGCTTGCAGACTTCCTTCTACTTCCAGAAATTCCCCCAAAGCTAAAGGAAGGAAGGAAGAGGGGTCATGGTTTTGACTGTGTACACTTTGTAGTAAATTGTTTTAGTTAGTTCTTAAGCCTTAAAAGTGCTTCCCTTACTGTTTCATCCTTTGGCTATTTAAAGAAGTAGAAATTTGAGGAGGTTATCAAATCTGGAAGATGCCCTTAACACCAATTCTGTTAGGAGATTCTGCTCTTATATAGTAGTTACCTCTTTTGTACATGAGGCTCATTCCCCACATGGCTATGGACATAATCATCTCTTCTCAGCCCATTCAGATTCAGGTAAAACCTCAAACTGGGACCTGAAAATACAGGCCTGAATTAATGTGATGCAGCCTCCCAGAGCTGCTGGCAATCTCAGAAGTAATGGCAAGGAATGGAAACACATGGCACGAAAGTTCCTGGCACAAGATTGCTTTTCAAACCTTTCTGCACCAGTTCATTTCTGGCATGGTCCATCCTGTTTACAGTCCTTAGGAGACTTAATGCTTTCTGACCAGCCAGAGTGCCTTTGGCTGACCTTTGCCATGGAGTTGCTTGCTCTGACCTTGACTGGTGTGCTGGTTCTTCTGTGGAAATTATTAGGATCTTCATCTTCATATTCTTGAAGGATCAACTTCACAGGTTGAAGAATCACCTTGTGCTCCTTATCAGCCTCAAATGTGTGCATAGACAAATTCTTTCTCAGTTCCACAGTGATGAAAGAGTTATGTCCATTCCTCTGTTGTCCGAAGTGAGAGCAGCTTGTCGTGGCAGGACAGCTGCAATCAATATCCACCAACCTTGGGCACAAATCCACTGAATTTGGATTATTCTTTGGGGACCTCAGGAGTAAAATATGTGGGGACAGTGTTTTTCTTTGTCTGTCTCTCAGGAAAAGTGATGTAAAACCCCTCAGCAGTTGTGCTACTTTGAGATGCGTCACTCAGAGATTCCACCTGTATTTCTCACTGCTGTGAAGTTCATGTCAGCCTGAATGCTAATTGAATGAGCATTTAAGAACATTTGTGATGGCTTTCTTTCAGCTGCGTGTCAGTGAGATGCAGCAGATACAGCTATTAAGATTCCTTCACGAGCAGAGCACATTTCAACCAGAGATGGACCACCTCTAGACAATGCATGTCAAAGAATTTCAGTTCTTGTAGGAAAATAATCTTTCTTTATCCATGGTAACTGGAAGTCATGACAAAAAGCTGATAAAAGCATGGAAATCAAGTAGACTAACTTCATAACTGTTTTAAGTATTTCTTTTGTTTTCTTTCTTCCAGGCTGTGGGATATCGAGTGTGGGGCATGTTTACGAGTACTGGAAGGCCATGAAGAGTTGGTGAGATGCATACGCTTTGATAACAAGAGGATAGTCAGTGGGGCATATGATGGGTGAGGCCAGTCAATATCTTGCATCTTCGTGTCTCTCTCAGTGTCTCACATCCTACTTTGCTGTATCTTCCTTATAAATATTAGACTCCTTGTCTGTCATACTAAGAGGACCTTTTCATGGCCAGTAAATCAGGACCATGTTACAAAGCATATCTTTTTTTCTTCTTTTGCAATAAGTCAGTGTGATTTGATGTATGTGTCCAGTTCTTTACTTTGTAAGAATGTCCGACTAACACAGCCTGAAACCTCTTCTAGCTGAACCACTGGTAAGAACAATTTTTCCCATCTGTGGTTATGTCTTCTGGACCATTTGCCATTACGGACTAGGTGTCTGCACTCCCACGTGTTTCTGTTAGTTATTACCACCTGCTTTTTATGGGTTTTACTTTGTTGACGGTGTATTTTTTTTCCTCCCATTAAGCTCTATAAGCTTTACAAAGGGGAAATGCAAGAACCAGTTCTCAAGAGCAGAAGGATTGCTGTAATTTTCCTTGAACTGGTGTATTAGCTAAGATGTACTAACAGTTTTTTTTCTGTGAGCACTTGCTCTTTTCTCTTTTACAGAGTTGTGGTTGTGTCTATTTTTTCACTACTAGGAAAATTAAAGTATGGGATCTTGTGGCTGCTTTGGACCCCCGTGCTCCAGCAGGGACCCTCTGCTTGCGAACCCTTGTGGTAAGAGCTTTTGACAGGGGTGTGGGAGGGAGCAGAAAATTGTGCTTGATCAGGGCTATCTTGAGCCATGAAAACTCAAGTCAGCTTAGCTCCAGTCTACAGGATTTAGAAATTTCTAGATTCTGGCTTTTTTGTGTGTCCATTTACTTTTTTTAACATTGCAAGCTGTAAGGCATTAGAAGTTGGAACCTCTGGAGTTGTCACTCACTGTTTGACAGTTTTGCTCTGTGATTTGAAGTTATTAGCTAAATTAATTTTTGAAACTTGTCCTTGAAATCTGTGTGCTAGTGGGTTTATTGTAACCTGTATGTACCTGATGTAGTAGTAAGTTGTCTGATTTGTTGACATGAAATTTCTTAAAGAAAAGTAGTACGTTCCAAATGTGAGGAACAAGAACAAAAACACCTTTGGGATTGCTTTTAACTGGCTTTTGTATGTTTAAGGAAAAAGCAGGTAAGGACTGGTACAGAGGGTGAAATTGCCTCATCCTTAATTGCTCATCCTTAAACAGCAGCTACTACTTTCATACTGTATTTAGGTCAGGTCTGATGATGGTGTGGTTAAAATAACATTTTGTGAGTGTTAGCAACTTTCACAGTCATGCTTAACAGTGACTCTGCACTGGTCTTTTAATAACGTGGGAAAGTTGTGAGGAAAATGCCAGTACAGCCAAGGCCGTGGGATGGTTCCTGTAAGTATTCCTCCATTGCACTCACCCCAAGAAACTTGCACTATTGCTGGGAGTAAAGGAAGGTTTCAATCCAGTACCAAGTTATGTTTGAAAAAGAAGTACTAAATATATTTCTTTTTTAGCTAAGAAGTGTTTGAGTTGGTATACATTAGACCTTTTCCTGCTGTGGCGTGTGACTGCAGTCTCTGCTCAAAACCAAGATCATACTGAGGCCATCTGATTCTCTAGAAGTGTGGTTACCTCTCACCAGCTGAGCTGTGCTAACTGACCTTCTGCACTCTCATCCACCACCTGATCTGCTACTGTTGCCCTAGATTTCATGTTTGGTGCAGAGTGTGAGGGTTACTGTGGCTCAGCTGACAGGCAGTAGATCATTAAACCATGCTAACTCTTTTACAATTGAGTATTTGAACCCTAAGCTGCAGAGTAAGAGTCTGTGAGAGCCTTGAATGCCTGCAGGTACTATGCTGAAAAACCTTCTTGTTAGCTAAGTAGAATTGCAAATAGTTTTGTGGCTGAAACCCAGAAAAACCCTTTGTCATCAGCCACCCAGTTCCAAACTGTGGAACAACTCTGTGACCATAAGCACATATCCTGAGAGTCTAAGACTTCAGCTTGGTATTAGTAAGCTCCAGCCTGAGACAAAAGTGTGCCTAGTAACCTGTAGACTTAATTTAACTGGTGTGATTTCCTCTGCATTTTCCAGCAGTGGACAGCCAAAGTGCCCCAGCTAATTATATTATAAATCAGATGCTGTGGGATGGAAACGCTGTAGGAATCTCAACACACAGATACTCATAAATCCCCATTTGATAGCAATGGAGGGGGCCAGAAGAGATGAGGGGGACAGAGGAAGCTGTTGTGGCACTTTTAGGAGTTTTATGACAACAGGGTGTCCTCATACCCACTTACCCATGGTTTGGTTTGGTGTTTTTTCTCTTCCCTTGGCCTCCAAAATTAAACCTGGCTGCACAATGAACATCATGAGTCTCCTGCTGCTCGTGTTCAATTTTCAAACAGTAGGAGGAAAGTGCACAGATAACAAATGCTCGCTGCATGCCAGGTCCCTTCCAGTTTTGTCTTCTGTTAGCTGGAACAGTGGCCACATTAATTTGTCAGGAGCTTTCGAGGCACAGAATAAGCACATAGTTCAGCTTTCCTTACAAGCTAAAGAGTCCAGGTTCTTTTGGCCTCAACTTAGGGGTGTGCATTCTGCTTATTGCTTCTGTGAAAGCAAAGGGCAGGAGCTGTGTGGAACTTCTAGGGCAACATTACATAGCCCAGAGTGACTTGGAGAAAAAAGGATGTTGTGGAAACAGTTTTTGGAGGTACCTCTCTCTGTGTCTCTGTGAGCAGTCCCTCAGCGGATCTGACTGTTGTAGTGATATTTTTTAGCAAAAAATTTCTTTATTTCTCTGCTAGAACACAGACTCTGGGAGAACATTTCTTTTTGGAACAGGTGGGAAGACAGAAACCCATAAGGCGTTTTTAAGACAAATTCAGGTTATAGTTAGGAGATCAGAAAGTTTCCAAAGATTAGACCTTTTTTAAAAATTTATTGTAAAAATAGAATCTGAATATTGTGTGTATGTATTTTCAGTTAATTTTAAAGATTCAGAGATTCACTTTAAAGCAGTTGTTGTTCTTTGCAAACCGAGCTGTGTTTTTGTAGTCCTATGCCATAAGACAGAGGCTCCCCATTTAGCAGCTAACAATTATCTTTTGCCTAGGTATTTGAGAAAACTGTATTTTCAGTATTAAAGTATTTTAAGAAATGTTTTTTCCTGACCCTAAACCCCTTACAATATGTGAGCACTAAAGAGAAATTTGTATTAATGGAAGAGACAGGGCTCACCCTGTTTGCATGGTTTCTGTTCCCTTCTGACCGAGGAGGAGGCCACTGCTCTTACAGCAGTGTAAGCACCAAGAAAAACAAGCAACACAAAAGGGAAAGTACCATGGATGTGTTCTGTGATATCCAGGATCTTGCCGTTACCTCCTGTTAATTATAGTCTGAACTCTTGCCAAATCATCATGCCGTTTCCACTCAGCCTCAGAGAAGAATGCAAACTGCCTATAAAGAATGCCCTTTCTAGTTCATATTTTTAGGACTGCTTAAGATGAATTATTCTGTGTCACTGGGCTTTACAACAGGCTTCTTAATGTCCTCCAGTATTACGCTTTTTCCTTTTCAGCAGTGGCAGTGGTGCCAAGTCTTCAGTGCAAAGTTCTTATCTCTCCCCCTGTAACCTACTGCA